TGAAACTTAAAGTTGAATCAAACTATTTAAATGCTTGGAGTATTAGAACTTGCGGGTTTTGATAGGATCAAAGAGGATTTTGTGCAATTTTTTATTTTGGGTCGTTTATGTGGGACCCTTGAGGCATGTAAAAACTAATGAAAATTAAATAGTGAAATGAAAATTTAAATTTTCTCGATTTTTGTGCATGTGTTGGTTGGATGTGTAATTTTTTAGGATTTCTTAGTCCTTGACAACTTTTATGGGGTGAGCCTCTCTGTACGATGCTGGGAGGCTTGGATTTTCTTTTTGGTTGACTTCTATCTATGTTCTTGCATTTAATTTGTTTAATGGCTAGTATGTGTTATTGAAATTTGTCAAGCGAGATGCATGACAACTTCCCTTTCATTGTGTGATTCTTGATTTTTATTGAAATTTTAAATCCTTTGACTATTTTTCTTGTGACATTTCAGATTGACTACGAATAAATTATTTTTTTGATTGAAAGAAACATGCTATTTATTTTTTTACATTGAAATCGATTAATTTTTGCTACAATTAGTTGGCAACCCACAGATTGCGGTCTTTGTTTTCATCATGCATCTCATCTAAGGTTTCATTAATAAATAATAATACTAAACTCTTAATCGGCCTATCATCTTTGTTGATTTTTTTTTTTAATTTTTACTTGTGCGGATTTCTTGTGCTATTGGATTTCTTTTATTTTTTTCCTTAATGTTGTGTAATGAGGTTCCGATTAATAATATTCGTATCTGTATTTGGTGTGGGGGTAATTTATTCCAAGTCATTCTAGAGGGGCTGACTTCCTTGGGGGATATCACTCAGTTAAATTTAATGAAGTTATTAGTAAATGGAAAATGATTCTTATTATGAAAATATCAAATTATGATACTATCAGCCTTCTTTTTGCCTAAAATTGTAATAAGTAGTTTTATACGTTGTATAATTTTGAAACTCCACCCTTTAGGTTATTCAATTATGGGGAGAGGTGGGGTTGGAGGTTCGATGATCTGAGCTTAATATAGTGATAATGGAGGAGAGTGATGCAAGGATATAGGTGATAGTAGTGATGGACTGATTTCGATCAATCAATGACGACATAGAGATGATGATCTACATGTAGAATGCTGAAGCTTAATCCTTTAGGTTATTCAATTATATGGCTAGGTGAGGCTGAAGTTAGTATGATCATATTGTGATGGAGGCATAGGGGAGGATGATGATGCAAGGGTAAAGACAATAATAATGATGGGCCTGGTGTTGACTAATTGGTGTAGACGAATCAACAAGGCATAGAGGTTGTGACTATGGCAAGGTTTGGTTAGCTTGAGTGGGAATTAGTAGTTATGGGAAGATGAAGGAAGGAGTGGGAATGGAGTATCCAGCTTTTATGAGTGGGACTAAGGACTTTTCCCCTCCCATTTTGTTTTTCCTGGTCTACCTCATTTATGTTCTTTCACCTCTCTTCTTTTTAAAGCTTGCCTCTTCATTTGGTCTATAAATTTCATATTACATTATTTATTGTCTTTTTTGGCATAAAAATTATTTTGAATATACCATGTTTTAAAATACTAGACCAAACTAGGTGGTTTGATTGGTTAAACTGTGAACCGATCTCTGGCCGGTTTAGTCCAATCCGAAAACCACTTTTTTAATAGAAGTGATGGTTGAATCGAAGAATTGATCCAATTTTTTATGAATATTTAGGTTTTAATTTTGATCAATTTATAGTCTCTTGATTTTTATCAAAAAGATATACTAAAAGGTTTATATGTTCTAACAAGTTTGACCTTCCTTCATTTATATTTTTTGAAATTTTAAGTTGTTTATTGTTGTTATTTGAAGTTGAATATCTTATAAATAATTAAAATATTGTGTAGTAAAATTTTGATTTAGAAATATATTCTAAATATTAAAGGGTGAAGTATTCTGATTTAGAATATTGTATACTAAATAATGAAAATATCATTATTGTATGATTATTATGTTATTTAAGTCATATTAAAATTATTTTGTCCTCTGGTTTAACCCGGATTAAACCTTTCAACCTTGAACTTCTTATTCTACTAGTTTAATGACTGATCCAGTTTTCGAAACCTTGAAATATGCAAAAGAGTAAGTTTGAGAGAGAGAAATGGACCTCTATATCCTATCAGGAGAGTAGTTACTCACGTCTACAATATTATTTTCATGGTTATCAAACTTTTGAGGTCAGCAAGCGCAAGATTATTCTGTTGTTTTGATATTTATAAAAGTGCTTTAAGATCTAGTGAGAGTTAGGGATGGAGTAATTTGTCACTCTCTTCTCAAGTTTAGTTTCTAGTTTACCTGCTTTCACTGTTTTTGAAACACGATTGTTCATTTTTTGCAAGATAAAACAGTACATTTTGATATTTTCCATTAAAGCTACTAATTCGATGAGCTTCATTTGTTTTTGTATTGTCATAACTATTCATTGAGCATTTATAAAAAGGAAGAAGCTTATAACAAAAGTTCTGATGTAAAAGCTAGGCGTTGAAACCCGTCTCATTTACAAAATAAAAAAATACAAGTTAGGCTAAGCTACAAGAAAAGAGAAATACACTGAAACATAACAACAACAACAACAACAACAACAACATCAAGCCTTTATCCCACTACGTGGGGTCGGCTACATGAATCCTTTTTCTCCATTGTGTTCTATTAAAAGTCAAATTCTCATTTAAACCTAATAAAGAAAGGTCATTCCTAATATTTTCTAACCAAGTCTTTTTAGGTCTACCCCTACCTTTCTTAACATAAGTCAAATCTAATACCTCTACTCTCCTAACCGGGTCATCGAAAGGCCGTCGTTTTATGTGACCAAACCATCTAAGGCGACTCTCTCTAATTTTATCTTCTACTGGAGCTACTCCAACCTTTTCACGTATATGCTCATTTCGTATCCTATCTCTAAGGGTAAAGCCACTCATCCACCTGAGCATTCTCATCTCTGCCACACTTAACTTAGTATTATGCTTCTCTTTTAATGGCCAACATTCGGCACCATAAAGCATTGCAGGCCTCACTACCATCTTATAGAATTTTCCTTTAAGTTTGAGGGGTACATTTCTATCACATAACAAGCCCGATGCATTCCTCCACTTCAACCATCCAACTTGAATTCTGCTGATAATATCCCCATCTATTTCACCATCACTTTGAACAATTGATCCACTTGAATTATGCTTCTCTTTAATGGCCAACTTGAACACTGAAACATAACAATTTTGTAAAATAAAAAAGGCTACTATAGTTAAATATATCTTAATATGAAAGGTTCCTTTAAATTTATAGATAGTTCACTAGTCAATCATTAAATAGTTGCTTTTAAATATTGTGAAAAGTTGATGTGCTAAATTTAGGTAATTTGAAGAACCGTATCATGCAAAAATTGCAAATCTGCATGCATGCCATTGAAACCATCAACTGAGGAACTTCCCATACGTCCAATGGATGATCAAATGAGCTTAAACTTCATGGATTGTGCATGTCATTTTTTTAATTATATTTTAGCGGAAGGAGTACATTGATGTTAAAGCTGGCTCTAAACTTTTAAGATCAAGGTGAACTAGGTGTTGATTTTTGAACTTTTTTTCATTTATTTTCTTTTCTTATTTTTTTATTATTTTTATTATTTTTATGATTTAGGTATTGATTTTTGAACTTAGATATGATTGGATAGAAATTGGGTTCAATAAGAGAATTAAATCTAAAGGCTTTAGAATGCTCATAAGAGGGGCGCCAATGATAAAATTCTAGAAAATTTAAATTCAAAAGGTAATAAACTTAATAGGCTAGTTCTCAAAATGTCACTTAGGTTAACTGGGTAAGGTATACAAGAAACCCTTATTGAACGTTACATAGCACTGAGTAAGCCTTAAATGATACTCAGGTCCTTCTCTATCGGCTTTGTTGATTTTAAAAAATCTCATATTTTCCTTTTATTTTTTTCTTTTTCTCAATCTTTAATGCTTGCTTAAATTCCTTGTGCTTTTCTTTATTTTTTCTTTTTTGGGCGAGGAAGTTCTAGTTGAGAGTGGATAAATTCTAGGTAGGAGTGTGATGGGTTTTGCATGAAGATATTATACATATCTGAGGCTGGGTAGTGCATCTAATTTCATCGTATAGATGGCGCTTGGGCTGACAATTAGGGCTCATATGGTTGCTTGAAGTTAAATTATTCCAAGTCTAACCATTTAATTCTTATACTTTTTATATATGTAGGTTCATAAAAGTAGGATTTTTTCTAGATTAGCTTCTAGAGTAATAATTTCTATTGGAGGAAATCAAGTTCTCTGTTTATGTTGTTATTCTATTGGCTAGGATGGGATTAGCCTAGATCTACGTTAGACATGAACCAGTCCAACCTGGACCTGTTCAAGTCTATGCCCGCCGGTCCAAAGAGGTGAGGCAGACAAGGGCCTCATGGCCTAAACTAAACAAGGTTTGGGAGGGAAAATTTGAATGAGGGGCTGTTTAGGGATTAATTAATTTTCCTTTTGCTTTAATTAGTCTTTCTTGTTAGAGTTTGGGGGTTATCTTGAGTTTGAAATCAAATTTGAGATTGAGGGTTTGTTCATTTGGGCTCTAGGCTTGACTAGAGATTTGGAGAGCTATTTCTTCCTCTCGAATTGAAGAAACCTATATTATTTTCTGTTTTCCTGCATCTACTAGTGGAATTCTTCATTTTCTATCAATTTTCTTCTGTTTTCCCAAGAAATCTGCTGCACCGTTGCTGTTTTTTGTGCTGTAAACAGCAGTTTTTACTCACTGTTTTCACCAATTATGGTTAGGTTTGCTTGCAAACTCAAGTATTTCCCTTAGGGATACTTGCGAACTCAAGTACTTCCTATCAATCTATTGATGATCTCAATGTTGCTTTGGTGTTTCTCATTGGAACTCAACCCAAGCTATTGATTTAAGCCATGTTATTGTCTCTAACTTCTATGTTTACCCACCCTTTGTTGCCGTTAATGCAGCTGCTGATGTTTTCCTGTGGCGAAACAAGAAAATCTCAGCTACTGGTCTTACTGTGGCTACTGCAATCTGGATCTTATTTGAATTGCTTGACTATCATGTGCTTACTCTAGCTGCTTATGGCCTAATTATCGTACTGGCAATACTGTTCCTGTGGTCGAATGCAACGACATTCATCAGCAAGTGAGCTCTATTCCTCTTAATAATTTTATTTTTTGACAATCTAATAGATAAAATTTTCCTTCCCTATCAGATCTCCACCTCGCATTCCTGAGGTGAGCATTCCTGAGGATCTGGCGTTGAACGTTGCCTTATCACTGAGATATGAGATAAACAAAACTTTTGCTGTTCTGAGGGACGTTGTATCCGGACGAGATCTGAAGAAATTTCTTGCTGTATGTCCATTTCAACAGCACATTTAATATTTTTAATACTGTCGTATTTTCATGCTGAAAATCTCAAAAGCACTTTCATGTTTCCAGGTGATTGTTGGCTTGTGGATCCTTTCAACCGTTGGCAGCTCTTGCAGTTTCTTGACCTTGTTCTATATAGGTAATTATATATTCGAAAATTTTCTCTCCCTCTCCGGCTCTCCAAATTTTTTTGTTTCCTTCCATTGCTTCCTTTTGTTTATAGGGCTGCAAGCGAACCAAACGTTCGATGAATTACTCGTTACTTGGTTCGAATAAAACTCGTTTGTGATCGTTTAACTAACTAAACAAACAAACTTGAATAGGATTTTTATTACTCGATCCTTAAATAAACAAGCTTGAACACTAATGTGTTCGGTTCATTTATGTTCACGAAGAACATCATTTGAAGCTCGTGAACATGCTCGACATTAAGCTCGATAAGAAACTCGATTTGTGTTCAATTCAGAACTCATGAATAAGCTCGACAAAAAATTGATTAATATTTAATTATAAAATTGATAAATATATATAACATAAATATTTTAATTTATTATAACATAATGATATAATTATTTTTATTAATAAATTTTAAAGTAATTAAATATTATAATATATATTGTAGTTTTAATTTCCTTACAATTTCTAATTTATTATATTACATCGTTAGATCTTGCTGATTTGATAGCTCAAGAATACTCGTTAGATTTGTTCATGAACATCCTTGTTTGATAGTTTAAAAAATTTTTCTAAATATGTTCACAAACAAAGTTCATTAAGGCTTGTTTGTTTAAAGCTCGATGAGCACTAAACAAACTGAACACGAACCGAACATGAACCAAACATGCATTAATTTAAACGAATCAAACATGAACACAAACAAATAAAGCTCGAATCAAACACGAACCAAACTTGAACAAGCTAATAATAAACAAACACAAACATGAACACTCACATACTCAGCTCGGTTCGTTTTGTAGCCCTATTTGTTTATATGGTAGGTATAGCTAACCATCATGTACTCTCATCAACAGTATTTGTTCTGCTGCATACTGTGCCTGTTCTATATGAGAAGTATGAGGACAAAGTCGACTTCTATTGGGATAAAGCAACAGCAGAACTTGAGAAGCACTGCAGCGTTATTCGTGCCAAAGTCATGAGTAGGATTCCCAAGTCCGCGCAAACAAAGGCCAAGAAGCATCAGTAAGAAGATGGAGCTCTGCTGGTGCTGGTGCTGGTGCTGGTTTATTAGCTATTCTGTAGTAATTGTACTTATCAGGAATTCAGTTTGATCTTCTAATGCTCGCTTTGTCCAGTCTTTATGCACAGATATATAACTTCATGAACGAGGTGTCTAATTTCTGTGAGTTGTGCTTTTGTTCTTTTGATAACTTCAACTAGTTATTTGAACATAATAATTACAGAATTATAGTAGATAGCTCTGTCTACATAGTTCCTTTCAAGTAGTTATTGATGTGAAGCAGATACTGAAGCTGTTTGGTTTACATTGAATCCTTTTAATTGCTCATCTGATAGTAATTGTTGTGGATTTCTGAGCAAATTCAAGATGTTTTTATATAATTTTGTCCTCATTTCTTGCCATTCTTCAATCTTCATATATAATTATTGATACTCTCTTGCATATATGAGAATAGAGCTTTTGATCTCTTGCAAAACTTGTGTGCGATTATAAGGGCATCTCCAATGGAGAACTCCATTTTTCACTGCAAAATACAGCAAAACTCTAAAATGCCGTGGTGCTGTTCCAATCGAACTGTATTTTAAGTACTTCTGCGAAGGTAATGATCCTTCTCCCTTTCGCGCGTTTTTTCGATTGAGAAAGCAAAATAGCATAGGCAAGTAAATGGCAGAAGATTTGGCGTTCGGCTGGAGCGACCGAACGACGCCATACGCATGCCATACGCACGATTGGCATTCGGTTGGAGATGCTCTAAGGTGTTGTGCTGCTATGCTGCTAGGTGATTTGTGAATCTACCTTAGACTTGATTTGTGAATCTACCTTAGACTTTATTTTTAACGGCTTTCTAACTGCTTTTAAAATTGGTTTTTAATATAAAATTTTTCTTATTTAAAAAATTTTCTTACTGTTTTTTAATAACAATATTTAAAGGCATTTTAATTGTACTATAGTATTATTTTTTAGAGTCCGTGTTATTTACTAATCAATTAAAATAGTGTAATTTGATTTCTAAAATCCTCGATGTAAAATCTCTATCTCTATAATATGTGAAGAGTTATATGGTAAAAATTTTGCATTATTCTTATTTTTAGACTATGAAAATATAAATTAAATAAGGAAATTCTAAAATATTCAAAGGTTTAAAAACTCTAGGTATCTTGAGCTTTATCACAAACTATGGTGGCTCTCTACACCATCACAAAGTCCAGTGTCTTTGCTCATGAGCACCAGCTGTCCTTGTGCTCACTCATTTTCCTTCAATGACTTAGATTGGCTCTTAAAATAAATTAAACAAGATAATTATATAATTTATATGTTAAAAATACATATATTGCTTAAAGTTTTAATAATCATTTTATTCACAACCAAATGCCAAAATGTAATATTGTAAATTAGTTTTATAACCATCCAAACAAACTCTAAATATTGTAAATACATTGTAATTGCTTTACTCTATGTAGTATGCTTCGACTATCACTTTCAAGCTTCTTGTAGTATCCCCCTTTAAATCTACATTTACTATCATTAAATGTATCTTTATTTTTTATGACTGAAAGAGATATCATTCATATCAATTTATCACATATAGTGTCGACATTTTTCATTGCTGTAGTGGTAGTAATTAGACCTGTCAACATTGGACCTGACCCGAAAATTTTGGGTTTGGGTTGACCCGAACCCGAAGCGGGTCGGATTTGGGTCCTGAAATCCAACCCGTTTGCAAAAACGGGTTGAGTAGATCCTAACCTGAATAGTGTCGGGTCGATTTCAGGTTCGACTCGAACCTGGCACGTGACCCGAAATTGACACGCCTAGTAGTAACCATCGACTGTTGGATCCATATATGTTTTTATTGCTCATAAGACTTCGATGTTCATAATGTTATCTAAAGATGTTATCATTTGTGCATCCTAACATCTCTCTCTCTCTCTCTCTTATTTATTAAATTATTCTTCATAATACAACTTTTTTTTTTTTTTTGGAAACTGATAATACAACACGTATAGTTCACATTAAGGGGTTGTTTCATTGTAGGATTTAGGTCGGATTTGAGGTGAATTTGAGTGAAATCCAGCCAAACGGTCTAAAATGCAAAACCAAATCTCACGACAATTGAAAGTCGCTGTAGATGAAAAATTCTGCCTTTTCGTGTCAAATTCCGGATTTCTGAAATCCTGTTTTTGCCGGATTTATGAAATCAATTGGCTCAAGAAGAAGAATTCGCTCGTTAAATACATTCTATAGCCAAACAGTCACATAAGATTTAATAGAATTTATTATGAATATTATATTTTTTTTTTGAGAATTTAGGCCCCACAAGATTTCAAAACCCGAATTTAAAAAATTTATGAAATTCTACTTAAATCAATTACTACTTTACTAGGTACTACTAAAATATATCCAGAAATATGTAGAAGTGATGCACTTGTCAATTTATATAACAAAAAAAAAAAACTATATGCTTGAATGATATTTCAGTAATAAATGTTTAAATTCTGAAATTCGGAGCTTGAAGGCGAAGCCGCTCTCTCTCCCCTCCCTTCCGTCGATCCTCACCTTCCTTGCCGCCGCTGCAATTTCCATTTCTACGTTACTTCTCGCTGAAGCGGTCTCCTCCGCCTGAATGCTCACCAACGACCACCCTAGCCCTTTGGCGCCCACCAACTCCACACCGTCTTCCTCGCGACGCAGCAGAAGGGATTTTGAATTTTGTGCGACCCCAAATTTCGTCGGCATACAAATCATAAATCGAAATCTAGTTGCTTTAACTGGATCTGAATGCTAATCCGACTGCAGACATCAAGACCCGTTTTCCAGGCGTGTATCAATTAGCCAGATCTACCTTCGTTCTTGTCTCCTACACTTGGTTGTTCTGCGAGATCCATCGTAGAAGTGTTGGAAGTTGAAATCCGTTTAGCTTTCTCTTCTGTTTCACCTATGATTTGGGGCAACCTTGCTTGGATTTGAGTTTTCAGCTAAAAACTGCGTTTCCGGGTTCCAGAGACATCTCGGTGCTTCGTTTAGGTTTTGCAGGATGCGGAATTCAATCGCCAGTTACAAAGAGAGTCTCTCTAGGATCGCCCACGAGGTCCTTGACACCGCTGAGGAGTCTAGCGAAAACGGTCCGGTTTTGGCCCGCCGGATCTCCCAGCACTCGTCGCGGTCTGCTCCATTGCAGCCATCTTCTCATGCCAACGGGACCGATCATGGTTACATTGAGGAGGTATGATTTTGTTTTGAGCATAATAGATTTTTCTTCCCACTTTTGAATTGTCTAGTCATTCGGAGCACTACTTTATAAGGAAGATCTCTGCCTGTCGAGAAAAAATCGGTGTCTAATTTTCAAGATTAGCTGTTGTTTGCAGCGCTTCTTTGGACCTTATAGGTGCATGGCTTCCATTGACATCAATTTAGCTTAGTTTCTAGGCTTCCATCAATTTAACTTAGTTTCTGGACTTCCATCAATGGCTAATATATTTTGCAACTAAACTTTCGGTGAAGGAATGCATGAACTTGGTTATGGGGGGATTTTTTGTTCACTGAAAATAGAGATCCGTGCAAAGCAAACTCTTGCAGTAGATTTGTGAAGAATTGAGCTATGCAGTAAAGTGATTTAATTTTACTTCGTCAATTATACCCTGAACCAAATAGTTTATGTATATGAAAGTTGCTTTGCATGTTAAGACTTTATGTTTCATCAAGTTTTCATCAATCCAAGTAACCTCCCCCACTCAGTGCCATTTCTTTTGTAAACTTTATCTTGAACCAATTCCGCATCATGATTTTCACCTCATGTGAAATGCGGTATCAACTTATGAATATGAGCAAAAGAAATGGTAGCTTAAATAATCAAGAGACAGGTTTCATATTTGGACCATGACATCCATTTGTTAGATTGATCCAGTTTCACTTTGATTGAGGTCTTCTTTACCATAAGAAAATTATATTAAGATTTGAGATCCAGATTTGCCTGAACAACTAGATGGAACGAAAAAATAGGTTGAAATCAAACGTTAAGGAAAGGTTTAAAGCATTTGGCATGTGATGTAACTAACTTTGAATTCGTTATGATATACATATAGTTAATGCAAATGAAAAATAAAATGTTTCATTAACTTTAACCTAGTTATTTTGGGCCAGTTTTACGTATTCTCATTTTCTCTTTGTTTCTCTTGAGTCCCTCTTGAGATGTTAAACTTTCTCTATATAAATTTTTTTGCACAAACTCTATCCATGTTGCTTGTTGTCCATCCCTTCTCATTTCTAATCTTCGATATTAACTTTATCTACACTTCTTATATGTGTATTTTTATCATTTGTTGTACATATTCAAAGTACTAATACCTATTTGTCAATACTACTATTCCCACCGCTCTAAAATATAATAATATATCAATCCATCTTTCTAGTTTTGTCACACATTCATCTTAATATTCTTATTTCTTTCATGCTCAACTTGACTATAAGTTATTTTACACCCCCACCCCACCAATACTTGGACTGATATAATATAGTTTTTCTAATTAAAGTTTTACAAAACTTTTAAGTTTCTATAATATTCTCTTATTATGTGTAATACTCTTGAGACACTCTTCCATTTCATTCCCTACGTTAACTTTGGAAGTTATTTCTTCAATCTTCATTATTCTAACACTAATCAATGCTTCATTATAGATATGTTTAATAAAGTCAACAAAACCTTCAATACACACATTTATTTTTCTTGATACACACCAAATTTTATATCGTGGTACTTGATTATATGCCTTTTTAAGATCAATAAAATATTATGAAGATTTCTTCTTTTCACTTTATGCGTTTTAATTAATTTCCTTAGAACAAAAATCAAATGATTCTCGACTACTAATATAGTTTTTCTTACTATATGTCATTACTACCTCCCATAACTTCATTTGTGATTCATCTCTTCTTAACTTCAAGCTTTATCTTTATTCATCTTAGTTAAATTAATTTATTTTTTTTTTGAAGTCAATCTATAATATATCTCATTATTCAGTTCATTATGTCATTCTCAAAATGATTTCTTTTTTAAGACTCTTGTTTTATAGCTACTGGTGGTGCTTATTTTTTTTACTACATTTATTTTCTGACTAACCTTTTATATCTTTTTCTTCATCAAGTCCTTTTACTCATATATGATTTATTTCTAGATTCTCCTAATACTTTTTTGTAACAATCTTCTTAATGGAACAACTTATCTTGAAAGATTAATAAATTCTTCCCTTCCAAGTCCCATTATCTTACTGTTAGGGTAGTTATTTTTTTTTATCATTTCCTTATACTCCCAAGATATATGCCTATAATTTTACTCTAGAACATTCTTCTTAAACCGCTTGAAATCTTTGCAAAAGAAATATCTTTTCTTCTAAGTAAAAAAAAAAAAAATTGCGATATTTCTCTCCACTCTTGAAAATATAAGTGCTCTTCTCATTTTTAAATTTGTTCTTTATTGTTACATCATATATTATTTTGAAATCAAGATTAACTTCTACCATTGCATCGCTCTTCTATTGCATATCCACCTTGAATCATCTCATTGCTTATCGTACTACAAACTATTTGTACATTTAAGTCATTCCCAATATATATTCTCTCTTCCTCAGTTATACTCCATAAAAAGTAATCATCTCTTCCCAAAAAATCTGATAATAGACAAACTGAGAAACTTGTGTAGGAAAATTATTTTCTGATACTATTTTTAACCTTATATAACTTCATCTTTAGCTGTGAAACCTCAGATAACATTTATATTTATATTCTAAATTGATTCAGGTAAGCATAAAAGATTGTAATAATTTGAATCATACGATGAACTTCCACGATGAACTTCAAAGAAGTTGAAAAATTTATTCATTAGAGTATTAAACAAGCTGTTAATGAACCATTGTGAGCTTACTATATGCTGCTTGCATTCTTCAATTTTGACATCTTATTTAACCGAGGATGCAAATCTTAGTTAGAGTTGATTATCAGGCTTTCCCAATTTATGTAAGCAAGCCTATTTCAAGTTTTTCTCTGTGCTATTTAACAAGCATGTATATATATATATATATATATATGAAGCTGAGCTATCTTTTATCACATCCTGAATTAAATATTAAGCAAGTGCTTAGTAGGAGGAATCTATTTTAACATGTGGTATTTTTCAAATAGTTTAAGTTGATTTGTACGACATTTTTGAAAATGGCAGCCATATTTCTGCTTCACGTTTTTTAACTATCGATTTTACAGTCGAGCTTTCTAAGTGATATTGCTTGAGCAACATTCATGTATTGTGTTCAAAGCTGTCGCTTAATCCTTTTCCATCATTTTATGCTAAAATTTCTCCTTTAAATGCTTTAGATTGCAAGATATAGGGCTGATATTCAGAAGCTGCAGGCATCTGAGTCTGAAATTAAAGCATTATCATTTAATTATGCTGCTTTGTTGAAAGAGAAAGAGGTATAGTAGTCGTACAGCTTTGCTTTTTTACATGACATATTCTGAGAAGTTATTTTCATCTAATTTTTGGAATCTAGTCATCATTCAAGGTAAATAGAATATTAGATTGCTATAATGGTCTTCAAGAACATCAGCAGTTTACTTTGTTGATATTAGATGGACTCTTTCCTAAAAAAATGGTGTAAACAGTGGCAACTGGTACTTTATGGGAAAACTATAGGCTGCTAGACCTCTCGAATTTTAGGTCGTACAATTCTGTAGAAGCTGATACAATGACTTTCTTGTAAAATACAAGTCAAGCATTCTAATAGTTACTTTAACTTGAACAATGCATCTTTCTCGGATAGCTATTTGAATCTTTCTGCTTGTTTTACTCGCTTGGAATGAATATGCTAATAAAGTAGCTCAGACTAGTGTGACCTGATTTTAGGTCCACCATAAGACTTGGCGTTTTACGGTAATATGAGCTGAACTTGAGCGTTTTCAGCCTTTCGACAATTTATGTAAGGAGTTAGGAGAAGTGAAGATTTAGTTCAAGTGAATTGCATTAAGGATGAAGATAAAAAAATGCTTTTTTTGGAAGAGGATATTCATATAGGTGGATGAGATATTTTGATAAATTTTTCAATGAACGTTGTGAGAATATGATTGACTAGTGACCTTAGCACCCTAAGTAAAAATATAGATTTCTTGAAGTTTGGAAAAGCAGTTGGACCTAATGATATTCTAATAAAAGTGTGAAAATATTTAAGAGATCAAGGAATTTCTTGGCTTATTAAACTTTTTAATATAATTTTGAAGAATAAAAATTGCCAGATGAATGGAGGAGTGCGTTAGTTCCTATTTTTAAGAATAAAGTTGATGCACAAGAGTGTGCAATTTATAGAGAAATTAAGTTAATGTGTCATATATTGAAATTATGGGAGAGAGTAATTGAGCATAGGTTATGGCGTGATACTAATAAAAACTATGGGAGCGAGTTATGGAGCATAGATTGCGGCGTGATACTAATATTTCTCAAAATTAGTTTGAATTTATGCTTGATTGGTCTACTATGGAAGCTATACATTTGCTCATATTTGAAAGGTTTGATGAGAAGTATAGAGAGTAAGGAAGATGTATATATATGATATTATTGATTTTAAATAAAGTATAATATAAAGTTTCAAGAGAAGTGCTATGTAGAGTTCTAGAAAAGAAAGGAGTTAATAATGCGTATATTAAAGTCATTAAGTATATGCATGCAGGAACTGCTACTTGTGTTCAAACACAAGTTAGTCTGATCAAGTATTTTTCTATTTCAATTGATTTATATCAAGGATTAGCTTTAAGCCCATATATTTTTGTTTTAGTCATGGATGTTCTTACTAGACATTTGCATGAGAATGTACCTTGGTGTATGCTTTTTGTTAATGATATTCTTCTTGTTGATAAGACTAGAGAGGGAGTTAATGAAAAACATGAATTATGAAGGTCAACCTGGGAGTGTAAAGGTTTTCGTTTGAGTAGATCTAAAACCGAATACATGGAGTATAATTTAGTAGTAATAGATTTATTGGTAGGATTGTGACATTGGGTGATTAAGTCATTAAAAAGAGTGCACATTTTATATATCTTGTATCTGTTGTTCAAATCAATGGTGAAATATATGTGGATATTATCAGATGGTGGTGAGACCTGCAATGCTTTATGGCGTAGAAATTATAGGTCTCACACTCAATTTTAATTCATTGATAAGGTGCTGCACTGTTTATTGGTTCAGAAATTGTAGGTCTCACACTTAACTTAATTTTAATTCATTGATAAGGTGCTCCACTATTTTTGATATTAAGTTGGATGGCTGAAATGGAGGAATGCATTAAGCCTATTGTGTGATAGGAAAAAACCCCGCAAACTTAAGGAAAAATTTTATAAGATGGTTTTGAGACCTGTTATGCTTTATTGCGCAAAATGTTGACCATTTAAAAAGGAAACATAAAATTAAGTTAAGCGTTGGAAAGATGAGGATGGTTTGGTCACATAAAACGGCGGTCTTCCAATGACCCGGTTAGGAGAGTAGAGGTATTAGATTTGACTTATGTTAAGAAAGGTAGAGGCAGACCTAAAAAGACATGGTTAGAAAATATTAGGAATGACCTTTCTTTATTAGATTTAAACGAGAATTTGACCTTTAATAGGACACAATGGAGAAAAATGATTCATGTAGCCGACCCCACTGTGGGTCTCCGAAGGATTCTGCTCGTGGGATTCGAATGCAAAGGGTACGATCACACTATCCCGTAGGATAAAATGATCGTAGACCTTTACACCCGACACAAGCAGGCTAATGGAAGAACAGATGGAGTTATAGATACGATTAGCCATAGAGGATAGCGGCTTTCACCTACCAACCTCGATGGATAATAATATCTATAACCCTAAATTCACGAGATTTTCCCTATTCGATACATCAGCTCAATAGGGTTTATTTGATTGTGGGGATCGATTTCCTACGGGCGTAAGCCCCTGTAGTTAATTATATCCTAAGCCTTGACTTAGGAAAACTCTCGATTAAGGATGTTAGATTATCTTCTCCAAATGGGTTTAGTGCAAAGGGAAAATTCTAGGTTTTCCTAATCAAAGGGGAAGGTACCAAATTGGCTCAATCAGATCATACGTGGTTCAGTCAACATCTGGTCGGCTCAAAGAAGTGGAAACTGGAGAAAAAGAGAGAAGACACTGCACTCAAACATGCACGAGAGAGGGAAGGAGGTGGCGTCATCTATGTGACGCAGATAGGTAGGGTTTATAGCTTCCGAAAGGATGGAGATTGTTGTTGGAAAGATGAGGATGCTCGGGTGGATGTGTGACTTTACACTTAGAGATTGAATGTGACATGAGTATATATATGAAAAGGTTGGCGTAGCTCCAATGACATAGAATATTAGAGACATTCGTCTTAGAAGGCTTGGTCACATGAAACGTCGACCTTCCAATGATTATGTTGGGAGAGTAAATGTATTAGATTCGGTCTATATTAAGAAAGGTAGAGGTAGACCTAAAAAGACTTGGCTAGAAAGTATTAGAAATGACCTTTTTTTTAGATTTAAATGAGAATTTAACTATTAATAGGATACAATGGAGAACAAAAAAATTCATGTAGCTGAACTGACATAATGGGATAAAGGCTTGTTGTTGTTGTATCATGTTGGAAACATTAGTATGACCACCAAAAACATACAATGATTCAAAAATTATATTTGCTAAAAGTACTAGATCTTGGCTTGATATGCTTACTTTAGAATATGCTTGTGGAGTTAATAGAAAGGTACTCAACTATTTTTCTTTGATGCACGTACTCAGATGGAACATTAAACATCATAGGGCACAACAATTTGGTAAGATATTTAAAACAAATATGTGTTGCACATGATATTTTAAATGTTATGTATTATGTTACTGAATATTAAAGTATCACTTCCATTGCAGTTATAATAAACTTTGTAAATCCGTCATGATAAATAATATGCTTAGACTCATTGTTCTCATTATATTAGAACTCATTAATTGTTAATGTCAAGTATTAGTTTGCAAATATTTAGAGAAACTTCAACATAAAAAGTCTGAATAAAAATCCAAAAAATTAAATAAAAAATTCTAGTGAGTTATAACATATGTGGCGGCACTTTATGATTTTATGATAATCAGTGTTCAAACTCCCTAAAAAAATTTCCAAATATGCTAAATTGCATTGTTTTAAAAATCGGACTGGACCGGACTGGCCGGTTCTACCGGGAACCAGTTGGCTAGTCGGTCTGATTTTCTTTAAAACTGGCTTCGTAATAATTTGGCTAAAGCCGGTAATTCGACCGACAAACAAGTGAACCGATCCTGATTTTTAAAAATCGATTGGTTCAATAATTATCTATTTTATATAATTAA